GAAAAAAAATATATCCTTGTTTTCCACACTATGTGTGTTGTTCCCAAAAGAATGACTGTCTTGGTTCATCAGTGAATTCACTATCCAGGAGAGACTGTGGTATATTTTAAACCTGTTGGGCCGATGAGAAAAGAATCATGCTGGGGCGCGCAATGGACACTTGGCTGAACCTCAACACTCTAACTCCAGTGGCTAGAATGTGTTTTCATGCCCAGCCTTTGTTCCCCCATCAGTGTGTCCTTTAGTTTCAAACAGATCTTTATAGTTTGTGCTTCATAAGCCAATTCTTATTATGATTTCGGGGGACTGTTCTTCAAAGAGCTTGCCAATGAAGATTTAGAGACAGAGCGAAGGTTTCTTCAAGTTCCGAGCCTTGGCTGTGGACAAAACAATCTTAAGTTGGGCAGCTTTTCTCGACACAAAAAAAAAGTTATTCGTGGTCATTGCACCATAAGTAGGATTCTATCAGGAACTCAAAGCTTGGGGGATAAGAAGGAGCAAGAGAATACTGTAACAAACTTCGTACAGAGTTCGGTCTTTTAATTGTTTCATGTTAGATATTCTATGTGTTTACCTCAATTGAAAAAAAAAGAATGTTTTTGCTAGTATCAGATCTGCTGTGGAATTGGTATTGTATGTCCATGGGATCCCCTTTTCTCAGCACGTGTTCCTCACTAGAAGAAAATGCTGTTACCTTTAAGCTTTGTCAAATTTACATTAAAAATACTTGTATGAGGACTGTGACGTTATGTTAAAAAAAGGTGTTAAGTCACAAAATGCGGTAATAAATATTTCATTTTTGATTTTTTGTTAGGCTTTGGTGTTTTTAATGGTTTGAAGGTTGCAGGATGCCAGTTACTGTGCACTGATAAGAGTAGGTGATGCTCCCCTCCCCACAGGAAGCTGAGTACAGTGAAGACGCACCAACAGTGTTACAAGTCATTATTTGTAGCTTTCCATTGTGTGTCTGGACTCTTAGGTTTCATCAGCAGACAACTTCCAAAGGTATGAAATTGTGGGCATTGTAACCAGTCTGAGAAATCACCTTCAAACTGCCCAGCCTGTCTTCTTATCACTGCATGATGTTTTAAAAAGTACTTTCAGAGAGAGCTTTTGCCGATGCACCCACCACTAGAATGAAAGGTTTATTCCAAGTTAGTTTTACATAATAGGAAATAATGTGTGTGCTCAGCCATGATTCATCTGTATTTCTTCCATCTTTCTAAAGTACTGTTGACTATGTAAATTAAAACTTATACAGAAATGTTTATAGATAAGTAAATACCTTTTATGGAGTTGGAAATTCTAAGCTTAAAAGAATGATCAAGCATTAATGTTTAAATCAAATGACCGAGCACTATCCTTTTAGATGTTTTTTTCCACGTGCACGGATGCAAGTATGACACTTTGGTGGCTCACGTGTTTTCTTTAAGAAAGAAAAAAAAAGGGCAAGAACAGACAATATGATAGCATTTTCAAAGCTTCACTTGGTGATGGAGAGGCAAATGCTTGTAGATATTGTCCAGTGTCTGCTAAGGTGTGGGAAACGTGGAATAAGCTGGAGGTACCTGCACACCCTTAGATTTTCCAAATAAACACACTGCCTAGACGGGGTCCTAACTCTTAAATGTTGACTCCTCCATTTAAAGGGACAATAAACAGGAGGTAGCTGGATGACTCAACTTGATGGGGGAAGAGCTCACTAGCCATACAAACTGACTCTTGGAAGCAATCCATAGTGGTATCTTAGGCAAGCTCTTCCACGCTTCCCCTTCAGCCAGCCTTAATGGAAACTCTACATGTGAATGAGCAAGAATATAAATTGCTATTGTTTCTTTTATATTGTTAAGTAAAATTTTTATAAGTGCATTTATCACTTTAATTACTGCACTGCTCTTTAAACCTAGAAATAGCATTGCTTGACACAAACACACCGCGCCTGTAAAACACACACCGCTTCCCTCGCCCTTCCCCTGCTCCATTTCCCATGGAATCTTTCTGTAAAATTTCAATATTTGCATATGTTTGCTTTAAATGCTCTGATGTAAACCCTGACAAGTTCCTCATTTATAAACTAACTCTCACATCAGTTGAGAGGAAAGAAAATGATATTGGCAGTTTCTTCTTCCATTGCTTTCTGTAAGGTAAATGCTGAAGGGTTTCCTTAATCACGGGCTTTATAAAAAGTGTTTTATGGAGTTTTTACATTATTCCGTGGAGGGTAGAGCCCAGAGCTGTTGAGCCTTGGTTTGAATTCGCAAATTCATCTTAAGCTTACTAACTTGGCCAATCTGTCTCCTATCATGCTAATTTTAACCTTAGATATTTGGAGATGAGTGATAATTGTAGTAATAGCTATGCATTTTCTTGCCCCACCCCCACCCCATTCTATGACAGAGGGATGATGAATTTGTCCAATTTTTATAGTGCTTTTTATACCACCTCAGAAGGCACTCGCTCCTATCTCGGGTTTACTATTTAGTATAAAGAGTTCCGATTTGGGTATATTTAAGAAAGCCTCAGCTGTCAAACGCAAAGAAACTGGGAATGGTGTTTTGACAACCATATAGTGTTAAAGGAAATACTGTAGTCTGAATAAAATTGCTTATGTTCTCCAAAACAAGAGTAATATAAAAACACTTTTTTATTTATATGGAAAAGCAAAAGCAGAAATAAACTCCAAAGGTTTCCCTTTCTTCAAGAAATTCCGAGAGAGAGAGAGAGAGAGAGAGAGAGAGAGAGAGAGAGAGAGAGAG